TGGGGGCAGGGAGGCACATCACTAGTTACCTCTCTCCATTCTGAAAACTATTCCTATCCTGCCAAGTGCACATTTTCATGCCCTGCTTAGACACACTCTGGGTATGTCTACACGAGCTCGTTAATTCGAGCTAGGTAGGCAAATCAGGCAACCGGAGTTGTGAATGAAGCCTGTGATTTAAATATCCCGGGCTTTATTTGCATGTTCCCATCTGGCCACCATTTTTAAATCCCCCTTAGTTCGAATGAACTGCCCGCGGCTACACGCGGCAGTTTAAAGTTAATCCGAACGAAGTCCTTAGTTCGGATTAACTGTTACACCTCATTCCCGGGCTTCATTTGCAACTCCAGTTGCCTGATTTGCCTACCTAGCTCAAATTAACGAGCTAGTGTAGACATACCCTCCCAGTCCTTCTGTGGGCAGGTAAGGAGCCTTCACTGCCCAACCACAACCCTGGGACTCTTGACCCAGGGCCCTCCCCCATCCGAGAGCCGTGTAGGCCACTGCACTTCCGATGGACACAATGCCAACAATCTGCAGCTCATTACTGACTTGCTCTAGAAAATGAGAAGCAGGCACTTGGCAAGAACACCACACTTTTATTGAAGGCTAATTGGGGCCCAGTGCCAGTTTGGCACCTGCAGAAGGAACAGTGTTTATTACAGCATGGGTGAGAGTCCGGTTCCAGACTGCAGCCTCCTTTCAGCCCCACATCCGGAGGTCAGGGCTAAATGCAGGTGCTTAATGGATACAAAAGAAAAAATGTGCAAAATGCAAAAAGCCTGTACTGAGAATTGGTTCTACCTCAGGTGACATAGCTGGTGGGGGCTCTGGGCTCATGTACTTGCCTGTCAGTCGGTGTGTAGGCCATGGATGGGTGGACAGCTGGCTTGGGACAAATTATTCTTCCTTCACTGTGCACCCTGCAAAATCCAATACTGGCCTGGATGCGGGAATGGGCACTGTCACCAGTGCTCCTGGCGCCCCGATCTCTGGCCACCTCCGCCTGCCAGCCAGCGCTAGCGTCAGAGTTTGAGAGCAGGGGACAGCGCCCAAGCTCACAGTCAGTCGGACCTGGCTGGAGAGCTGAATGGTGCGCGCGCCTGTCAGCAGAGCCCCTAGCCATGGCAGCTCTTTGCCCAAGCGTGAGGGCACAACTGACCAAAGGCTGGGGTGAGTGCCCCAGCACCGATGATTTTTACATTAAGACTGGGTAAGAGCTGAGTAGGAATTACCAGGGACAGTCTCTGGATGCCACAGCGCTCCCTCCTGGCCTTGCAGCGAATTGGCAGGTGACGGGAGCCCTCTAGGACAGGAGAAGCCCAGGGATTACATGGAGTGATGTGGGTGACTCAGGACGGGTGCTCTCCACTAACATAGAGCTCTTTGCTGGGTGAGCGTATTGCTCTCCCCCCAGGCACTGGGCCCATGAAGGATATTCCTTCACCCCCTGGTCTCTCTAATCTCCTGGGATTAGGCCCATAGCACATGAACTGTTTGGGGATTCTGGAAACCCTGTTTCCTAAACTAGGAGCTACGAAGAGACCATTGGCTCAAACCCGTCTGAGCTGCCCTGTGGATATGCCAGACAAAAAGCCTGGAGCCATGTACAGAATGCTGCATTTCCAGGACTTCTTTGTTTTCAAGCACTTTATCTCCTATGTATCTTTGTACCTGTGTGTTATCTGCACACTATGTGTTGTTTGCTAGCCTTGTTAGTGTGTGGGAAGATTGCTCAGAATCACAACTGCACTGCACGGGTGCTCACCCAAATGTCTCCATCTCACAGAGGAAGGTCTGCTAAACCACAGCGTGCATGCACCTTATGCAGGTAGACTCCACCTCCTTTTGGCTGCCGTTGGGGCAGCCTCGATAGAAAATGCTCCCATTTCCTCTCCGATACCAACTTATTCCCATGGGAATTAGGGTGACCTCACATATGAAGTGCCTACCTAGTAACTGTCACCTCTGGAGTACACAGAGTGGGACCGAAGGAGACATTTTCTGTGGAGAAACGCTGGATCTGGGTGAGCTGGGGAGACTTTGGGGTTTTTGTCTCATTTTGGAAGCTTTACCTCCCTTGTGTGCAAGAAGAAACCCGGTTCACAGGTGACAAACCTCCTCCAACACAAACCGCTGGGACACAGCAGCATGTGCTGCATGCTGAAACCCTTTCCAGAGGCTGTGTCGTCTCCTGGGACCTGCTAGCTGGTTCATCAAGTCTCATATGCTACTGCTGAAGGCTCAGAAAGAGGGACCTGTGCAGGCTGGTCCCTGGGCTGTCCCACCGACAGAAAGGAACAGTCGCTCTCAGGACTTGGCCCACTACACAGCAAAGCTGCACCGCTGAATTTAACCTCAGCAGTGACTTTTGAACTCACCGAGTTAAACAGGTGCATATGGCTGTGTGCATGCTCAGAGTCCCATTGTGCTAACGTTGATTCCTCCATGAGTTTTGATAAATGAAACAAACCTGCTTTACACCAAACTACAAATGTCCACACAGCTCTGCATGCTGGTTTAACTAAACTGGGTTTAAATCTTTCATGTAAACAAGGCCTCGTTTTAGTGTGCAGCTTTGGGTGTCTCTGGTGCTTTGCAAGTGAACATGCTCATTTGGCTGTCTCAGCTAATGCCCTACCTAGCAGCTGGGTCAGCCTGAGCTTGAGGATGGCCACTTCAACGGAGGAACTGACTATAAAGAGTTCCTGGCTTCTCTTTCCCAAGCTCAGACGGGGAGAGGTAACCGGCAGCAACTCTGCAAGCTCAGCCGGTAAGGGAGTGTGTGCCAGCTGGCAAAGGGGAGACCGGCCTGCTGCTCAGGGTGTAGGAAAAGGTCCCACTGTCACTCAGGGTAGGGGGCTGGCTGGCGGCTGACCCCGTCACTCACACTCGGCGGTTGAGTGGGGGACTAATCTCAGAGCCGCCAAAGGGGTGATGGTGAAATAGCAGGAGCAGACCCTGTTGCTCAGTTTCATGCAGACGCCAGAGCAGTGGGCGACTGCACCCAACCGGCCCCTTTTAGGGTGTTTTAGAGCGACAGCGTTCCGTCACAAGAGATGATTTTCTGCTGCTGAGCCTCAGCTCCTGCCCCTGCGGCGCAATAAACCCTCCTCGTCCCTCGCCTCCTGCGCTGGGAACAGGCCAGGCCAGCCCTGCTCCTCCTGGCCGCAGGGGCGGCTCTGGCATCTCTGGCTGAGTCTTGCCAGGCAGTTGTTTGGCTGGTGGAATTGCTGCTGCCAGCCCTTTGGCCTGGAGCAAATGGCATCCCTGCTACAGCCCTGCAGGTCAGGGGCACAGGAATGGAGGCCTCTTCTAAGGCTCCATAGTTCAGGGACAAACTGTTTACAAATGGGACATTTGCTCCCTTTTCAGACATGCAAGTGAAGCTGTTCATGGAAGCATCTGCTGGGTGCTCACGTACAGATGGGGATCAGGAAGCCATGGTGCATATACCAGTGCATAGGGGAGGCCCTGAAATGGTCATGTGTCAGCCCAGTGCCTCAGTTTCTCTATCTGTAAACTTAGAACAATGCTAGCGCCCTGTCTTACAGACGGAGTTAGTTACTTGCAGTTACAGTTAGCTTTGCTCCCTCACCTGCTGGTTGAATTTACCTGCTGTCTCTTAGTTTACACTTGGATTGTAAACTTTCCAAGGCAGGAATTACCGTGTTCTGTGTCTACAATGCCTTGCCTCATTAGATCACACACACACACCCCTGGGCTCGCTAGGCCACATTTCAACAATAACAATCATCAAGTCACTCTGATCTAGGAGCCTCCCAGTTCCAGCTGTGACGTGGCAGCTTTGCACCATGCAGCTGCCTTAGCCTCATCAAAGGTATCCTTTCTTTCCAGGCTCTTCTCTCTCCTGCCAGCTGGGAAGGCAAGGCTGAAAAAATGGAAAGTCCCCACCAAGGGAAACATTTTGGCTCCTCGGGGCTGTATAAGCTCCTTGTTGACAAGAAAAGAGAAGCAATGTCTTTCCTTCTGGAGAAGGGTCAGGCAATAGGATGCTGCAATGACTTAAGCACAAAGACAAGAGCTGGAGGTGTAGATAGCAATGTAGAGCATATTGCTCTCTCCTAGTGCGCAGGCTGACGAATGGGCCCAGGCCTCTTTTCAGGGCTTTCACCAGGGACTGGTCGCATTTGCTGCCAGAATGTTACTGCTGGCCAGGCAGTGGTGTGTCCCCAGAACAGGGTGCTGTGGTTTTCTCTGAGCTACAGTCTTGGGTGTTCTGGCTTCACCGGGTTCCCTGCAGGTTTGTTAACCCAGCAGTCTGCAGGGCTGGATTCAGACACGCTGAGGCCCAAACTATGTCAAGTTTAAGAGGCCCCACAGCATTAACAACAACAAAGCGTATTATTCTAATAGAAAGGACAATGGAAATAGAAGCAGTAAAGTAGAGGTGGCCAAGCTAAAGGTGAGCAGGAGCCAGAATGTACCAAAGCACATTGCCATAGAACAACCTTTCTGTCACCAGCCCAAATCAGCTCCCCATTGCCGCTCTCAGCACATCACGGGCAGCCCCACCGGTCAGTGCCTCCTTCTCCTTTCCCTGCTGCCCACGGGATCGCCTCTCTCAGTGGAGACACCGGAGGGGGAAAGCATGGGTGTCCCAGGCTCAGTGGAGAGGGTGGGAAGTGGCAGGATCCTAGGGGGGAAGAGGCTGGGGCAGAGCTGGGGGGTGAACAGTGGAAAGTTGGCCCCTGTAGCTCCAGCCCTGGATTTGGTACCAATGCAAGGAGCCACATATTAACTTCTGAAGAGTTGCATGTGGCTCTGGAGCCACAGGTTGGCCACTCCCGCAATAAAGGTTTATATTTGCTTATACTCTGGTACATAGGCAAGCATGCAACTAAGAGCTAGTGTAATTGTTTTGTATGTCAAAGCCCCTCATAAACTGAGGCCCTAAGCTGCAGCTGACTTAGCTTGTGCATCTATCCGACGCTGATAATCTGAATGCTCTCTCTCTCTCTCTCTCTCTCTTCCCACAGGATCCCAGGCACCATGCTGAAGTCAAACAAGACCTTAGTGCTAGTGATCCTGCTGGTTCAGTCCATTGTTTTCATCTGCTTCCTCTCTCAGCTTCACAGCAGCTATTCCCCCCAGGAAGAGAAGCCAGCTCGGGTGCACATCCTCATTCTCTCCTCCTGGCGCTCAGGGTCTTCCTTCACTGGCCAGCTCTTCAGCCAGCACCCGGATGTCTTCTACCTGATGGAGCCTGCCTGGCACGTGTGGATGACCATGTACCAGCACAGGGCCAAAACCTTACAGATGGCAGCACGTGACCTCCTCAGGTCTGTCTTTCTGTGCGACATGTCTGTGTTTGATGCCTACATGTCTGTGCAGAGGAATAAATCTGATTTGTTTCAGTGGGAGGCCAGTCGGGCCCTGTGCTCCCCCCCTGCCTGTGACCTCTTCCAGCGCAACCACATCATTTCCAAAACCGCCTGCAAGACCCTATGCAGCCAGTACCCATTCAGCAAGGTGGAGGAGGCATGCAGGACCTACAACCACATAGTGCTCAAGGAGGTCCGGTTCTTCGATCTGACCGTTCTCTATCCCCTTCTCACTGATCCTTCCCTGAACCTCAAAGTCATTCACTTGGTGCGTGACCCCAGGGCCGTGTTCCACTCGCGTGAGAAAACGATGTCTAGTCTGCTGCAGGACAGTAAAGTTGTGGTGGGACCCCAGCAGAACCAAGGGGAGATGGGGCCCTACAATGTGATGCAGGAAATCTGTAGAAGTCACGTCCAGATTTACACTGCAGGCAGCCAAGCCTTACCCAGCTTTCTCAGAGGCCGCTACATGCTGGTGCGCTATGAAGACATCGTCAATGATCCCCTGGCAAAGGCAGCACAGCTGTACAGGTTTGCAGAGCTCCACTTCGCGCCCAAACTTCAGATGTGGGTGTACAACATCACTCATGGGAAAGGGCTGGGGACACACGACTTTGACATCGACGCCAGAAATGCAGTGAACGTTTCCAAGGCCTGGAGGAAGAACCTGCCCTTCAAGAAGATAGCAAAGTTGCAAAATGTGTGCAAGGATGCCATGGAGTTATTGGGTTACCGACTAGTGAAGTCTGAGGAAGAACAGAAAGACATGGCACTGAACCTGTTACTTGCCCAGGGAACTCTGCCCACTGACAAAGGGAGCTGAATACAGAAAATGTGCCTGTTTGTCAGCTGAAAGCTGCAGAGTTGAGAAGTGAAGTGTGTGCGCACGTGTGCATAGAGCGACAATAGCACCTGACACAGAGCACGGAAGGAGGCATTCAAATTCCTGCAAACTTTCTTCCCTGCCTCACTCTGCTGCCAAGTCTCCACACTAAAAATCCACTGATGCAAGGAACAAGTGACATTAGGTTGGAGAATCCAACGCCCAGCAGCTAAGCAAGCCCTGTTTTTTTGGAAAAAGGCCACAGTTTGGGTGGAACAGTAAAAGAAGAAAAACCAACCTAGCTGAGGGGGAACCGAACACCTAAGGAATAGGACACGAAAAGTAAAGTCAGAACCCCCCCAGAAGGCCAATTTTAATTAAACACCAACCAAACTGCAAGTAGCACATGTACTGTTGGATAACAGGCGGCAAGGGAGTGTCTCCACCAATATAAATTTCACAAAGGAGTAAATGATGCTGAAGAGGAAAGGGGACTGGTTAGAATTGAGGTTTTGGGTAGCTCCTTTTCTGAGGGTGCTAAACTTTTTAGTCCGGTTTTCTTCTTCTCTACTTCTGTGCCTGAGTATCCACCACTAGTCAGTAGTGTTGGAAAGTAGTGTGACTGTTTGCTATACAACACCAGCCGGAACTCAAACATCCAGTTAAAGGGAAAGCTGTTCTCTGGGTTTGAATAGGCGGGTCCATTTCTGGGACTATGCAAACCTTGTTGTGCTAATAATAATTCTCTGTCTTCTGACCTAGCCACAAAACGTGCTAACACAACGGGAAGGCTGAGAATGCAAACAGATGAGCCTGTTCAAATGGTGGGCAGAGTACAGAGTGCTAAGCATAGCGAAAACCTGGACTAGCTAAGGTTCCTGCTGCACCTTCACTTCTCCACAGTTGCAGCTGTTGTAGAATTGGCATAGCTTTTGCCGGATTCATTGTACGCAGCAGAGGCTGGCTAAAGCTTGGAAGCACTTCTAGCCAAAGGGCTGCTAGTGCTCATGGCAGCGCAAGATAGGAGGACAGAAGAGTGATTTCCAGGTCAGCGCTGCGCTCAAGTTGCATTTAACAGGATCACCTTTTTCCAAGAGCCAAGAAATGGGAATGCTAGAGGCAACCTTCACAACTGAATTCTGTAACGTGCGGATTTAAACCCTCCCACTGCGGCGCAGCAGAAGTATTTGATAGTTAGTGTGTTCACGCGGGGATGGGCGGGGTCTGTAAATCCCAAAGTGTATCATTTCCCCTAAGGATCTATGAGCCATCCCGAACTTGAAGTCTTTAACTCAAGCTTAGTGGATTTTTAGACGAGATGCTGTAGCTCAATCAGAAATTATGGGCTTGTTGCAGATCTCAATAAAATTCTCTGTCCTCTGTTATGCAGGGGGGCAGCTCAGATGGCCACAATGCTCTGTGCAAATATTAAGAATCCAGAAACAGGCTTAAAACTCAGGTAACCCCCAAGTATCTGACCTCTGTACACTCTGTACACTGTTGAATGACACGTAAGCAGGGACCGGCCCTACTATTGTGAGGAATTTGCAGCCTCGTAACTAGCCTGAGGCAAGACCGTCCTCGGCGTGGGCGGGGGTGCTGACGTGGCGTGAGCGAAGACGGCGTAGTAGCTGACTTTTCTGCACCCTCTCAGCTACGTGCCCGAGGCAAATGCCTCCCTCGCCTCGCCCTTGTTACGGCCCTGGGAATTTGCCAGGTTTCTATGCTGTCCCCAGTGAAACTGGAAGTGACAGGGTCTGAGTCTCCCCCTCAACAGTATTTACCCAGATGCCTGCTTGGCCTCAGGTACTCCTCTTCCTTGCTCCCATGCTACAGAGTCCTCCTAACCCTGCCACGGTTGGGGCCACAATCCCCACTGGGTTGCTCAGGACAGGGGCTAAGTTCTCCCCACTCTGACGTATTCTCTCCTCCCTGGCCACTCTCCTGATCCAGTGATCATTACATTGAATGGAAAACAGGTACAATTTATTAGCCAGCAACTGTAAACCAACCAGGGAAAATGGAGACGGTGAAAGGATCCAGAAACTTGCAGCATGGGCACAGGGACATCATCACCACCACTCGCTGGCTCTGGCCACAGCCCATTCCTACACGTCCCAGATCCTGCCTGTGCGGCGGCGACACCATGGGCTGGACACCTGCCCAGAGCGCTGGGTGGGACACACATCTTAGGCTCCAGGTGGCAGGACACTTCTCCCCAGTATCAGCCTTCCCACGGGGTCATGGTCCCCACTCTCAGGCCAGCCTTCAAGACCCTCTAGTCTAGCACCATCTCCCTCCACTGAGCCTTCTGTCCAGGCCCCCGTTGCTTTCCCCAGCTGTTCAGAGCGCTCAGCTCCAGTCTGCTTGTGGTGTGGACAGCTTCAGTAATCCTGGCTCTGCCCCTGCCCTCCCAGCTCCCTGCTGTAGCTCAGCCCTGGCTCCCCACTCGTGCAGCTGGTCCGTGCTGACCCCGCTCTGGGGCCCCCGCACACCTGCCAGTCCTATCAATCCAGCTGGCCTCTCCACTTTGGTGCTGAGGTCCTGTCACCCTCAGGACCCTGACTCCTCTTCAGTCCTTCTCCGTTCTCCCAGCAGCAGGAAACAGTCAGCCAAAAGCAATGCACTCGGTATCAGTAAGGGGGCACGGCCCCTTGCCTACATCGCCTTCCCTCCAGGCCAGCCTGGTGAGGCCCGAATGCAGTGTTGCTAGCTCTTGGGATTCTAGCACAAGTCTTCTGATGTCTGGGGAAGAGGAACCTGAAAACATCATGACCCCTAAGTGCACCCTCCAGGCTGAGAAATCAAAAGGCAAATAATACGCCTTGTGCTGCTATGGTGCTGTGGCAGCACCTGCTGTAGAGGTCTAGTCACTGTAAGATTGTATTACAGGCGTCATTTTACAGGGTAGGTCTTTTTATGGGCCCCTGTTAAAGAAATCTGAATTGCTTTGGGCTGTGTGCTACATTGCACCTTCTGCTGCTGATTCAGACAACATCAGTTCTACAAAGCACTCTGTTAATAGAGTGTATTTTAGCAAAACTACTTCCACTGCTGTTCAGAAACCAGTGTGCCACCCTGTGGGAAGGTATCTGACGTCCTTCTCTAGTTGATGGGCTGCAAAGAGGCAAATACTCCAAGATGTAAAGCAGCAGTCTCTGAACTGGGAATCTGCTGGTTCAATGGTCAAATGCTTCGATGATCTGTACGGGACATATTTCGATTATATGTGATTCACAGTAAGGGTGTGTCTAGACTACATGGCTGCGTTGACAGAGCCATGTGAACTAGTTTACCCGACATAGTCAATGAAGCGGGGATTTAAATAATCTCCGCTTCATTAAAATAAAAATGGCCACCGCGCTGTGCCGACAATCAGCTGGTCCGGCACAGCGCGGCAGTCTAGACGCGGATCGGTCGACAAGGGAAGCTTTTGCCGACCAATCCCTTATGCCTCGTGAAAT